TCTGTGGGCACACCCAGGCAACACTTCTCACATCCTCTCACCCGATTTTGCTAAGCAGCTCCATCAACGGTGGATTGCATCACATCTCAGGAACCTCGCATAGAAGCTGACTGTTGGCGAACCTGATGCGAACATTGACTATTGACACTGTTGATGTATGCATGCGTTATGTTCTTTATTCGCACCGGTGTTTTTTTTTGATTGATTGGTTAATAATTATTGTAACGTCCATTTATTACTGATAACATTTGCTTTATTCGGGACGAATTAGCTGATTTTATTATCCATTGCAGGACTGATTAGCGCATGTAAACACAAAATCTAATTAGCTAAAGTTAGGTTTTCTTTCTTTCTTTGATATATTTTCAGGGATATCCTACCTCAACGTATTCATATGCATATGCTAATTCTTGTTCCTTTGTTTATTTTACTGAATTAGATTATATATAAGTAGATTACATATATATTATTTGAGTCAGTTTTTACACAACAAATTTGGCTATTTGTCCTAATCTTCTGAAGGAAAGTGCAGACTATAAACATTACTATTTTGTGAATTTTTGATGAAAAGATGGAACTGGTGGTGAAAAGGTTAATTTAAAGTAGGTTCACATTCAGGTATCGGGATTTGTCTATATGATACATAAATATATTTGTATTTGCTATATAACCCCCGATGTATTAATATAAAGTCGTTTACTTAGATTAATGTGGCCATCTTTTCTATATATGTTATACCTGACTTTGTTCAATATACGTCATAAAGGTATGTTGGCAAAGAGTCAGTTTGAAAGGGCATAACAACATCGTCAGACAACCCATGAACCGATAACTTTGTCAACAACAGACTGTGGTTAATGAGATCAGCTTTGGGCAAATCAAGCAAGAAGACACCATTATTAGTATTGAACAGTAGTATTGGTCAGCGCAATCTGACAAGAATGTGTTTTTCCCTAAAACCTGACTGAGCGTCTAACAGTAGGTTAGCATGGAGCAAATAATCGGATAAACAAAAATGGACATATCTTTCCAGTAGTTTTGTAAATCCTGATAAAACAGAAATTGGACGATGACTTGCCATATCGTCATGACTACCACTTCCTTTATACAGCGGACGAAACCTTGCGCATTTGAAAGTGCATGGGAAAATAGAAAGCGAAATACTCATATTGAAAAGACGGGTATGGCTATCAGAAATGACATGCGCGTCAACCATACAGTTTACATTGTCACACCAGTAAACCTTGATTTAATAAGTAAAATAACACAAACTCCTTCTCCAAATGGGGTATTATAATAGTGAAAGGTGGTGCGTCCCGTATAGAAACAAAAATCACGTAGATGTGATCGAACCACCAACCAAGTGAGAGCAATGACACATTTTCTCAACAGGATGTTCTTGGAAATAATAATTTTGCTCCCCAGTACGCTGTCGAGTTGAGCAGTGTTCTCAGAAACAGTTAGACTCAGATGGCTAGGGCAAGTGTTCCCATTGGTGAAAGTATACCCGTCAATTTCATGAGCCATTGCAGCGACGTGCTCCATACTCCTATACGGCTGATGCATTGCAGCGTTCTGAAGAAGCACGTATTAATCCCATAGATATACCCCAGATAAACCAGGGTCCGAGTTGAGAACAAACGACAATTACTAGAAAGCCAGGATGTATTGGGGTCTATGCGAACGCCCTGGTTAAGGTAGAGATGCAGTTTACATGACAGGTATTTTAATTGGTTAATTAGGAAACCAAGACCTCTCTTGTCCACAAAACTATATATTTTCGGAAAGCTTATTGTATGAATTTTAAAGTTTTGTTTGTATTTTTTATGGACACTGTAGTTTGAAATATGCACAAAAATGTGATTTTTTTTTGGTCAAAAGTCATTTAAAAAAAATTAGCTCCTAAACCATGCTTCTGTTTCCTGTCAAAATTAGTTTATGGGTACATCTGTTTATTATGAAGAAAGTGCCGTCTTGAAAACTGTCTACCAGTTGTCAATTTTGCAGGGCAGCAGCCCAAATTTCACTACTTCAAGTTTATGCATAAATTAGCACCCAGGATAGTTGTGTGTACGGTTGTTGTAACAATGTTCAACCAAAAACAATGCCCCGACGGCATTTTGAAGATAAACACATTGTCAATCATTTGTGAAAATTTCAAAACAAAAGGTCAAAGCGTCTAGGAGCTTTTTTTTTTAAAGTTCTGGGATGTGCACTAAAAAGAAGCTGAGATAATTGCTAATTTGCATAACAATTCACTCAGTAAGAAGTTTGCTAATGCTCATAATTAAAATGGCTGTAACAGTTCCAAATTTAAATGTATTACCGTTTTGTTGAAAGTTGAATATAGTGCATAATATGGAGATCCCGTCAATTCTTTTCTTCACCATGTTTCTTTTTAATTATTTATGTACATCCTTGCTAAATCTTGCTAAGCATTCAAAAGAAAGAATGTTTGCACCTGTTATCTATATTTTATTAAAATCGTTTTTTTTAGTATGTTCCACTATTCACAATTCTACAAAATATTAACAGTCTATAGCCAAGACTTTTTGGATACTAAAAAGCAAACAAAAAAAATTCACCCCTGCATCTCTACCTTAAATGACACGACGTCCATGTGCTAAAACAACCAATCATCTACTGTCATTGTCACCCGTGCATTATTCCACTCAGTGCAGGTCTTCACTTTTCCATTAGATGAGTATATTTATTAAATAATACAGGCTATGAATTAAGACACAAACTTTATTTTAGCTATATTCAGGTAGTCACGCGAGACTTACGTGTACATCTCGGCTCATTTTCTCAAATAAATAAAGTACTGTGATTCAGATTATCAAATTGTCTTAGCACAGTGCCGACAATTTTGTTAAATTGCTTTCTGTGGACTACTAAATACTAGTACATTTTTTTATTCAAGTTGTGGCTTTTTCTAAGTTGCGCCCTCTAGCGACAAAACTTCCGCGATTTAAAAATAACGTAGACGGTAAAAACTGTGTTCAGTGTAGTCGTTTGCAATCTTGAATATAGTACATTTCTAATAAAAGTAAGTTTGTTTCACAGCTTTACGCCAATACAACGAGAGCGTATGAGCGTACGTGCGTACACTGTACGTGGGTTAACCCATTTAATTATATTTTCATGGGGGGGGGCATTTTTATTTCTGATGGATGATCCCAAAATATATATAAATTGTATTTTTCTATAGCTTCATATGCGCAGAAGTAACCCAAGACAACATTCACTATTTTTCAAGTATTCCATATTCAGAATTTGACAAAATTTATCGTCGCATTATATTATTTATTGTTCAATTTATATACTGGTCTGATATACGCAAATAGTCACGTGATTAGCACGTCGTAGTTTTAAAACAGATTTAGACGCATTGAACCCCACCCCCGATTGGGGTCAAATAAGGTTCGTCTATTATTAGAACAGTAGTCGAGATAGTGTCTAAGTTGAATTATCGTCTTCAATGGTCACAATAGTTCGTAAAGTTCGTTCCACTATGCTATTTCCAAAATGACATGCTTGTGAACTCGTATAATGTGGGAACCAAATTATTGAGCCATATATAACATAAATTCAATATAAACCACGAGACTGGGCGACATTACGTTTCTGGAGCAAGTTGTTTTTGCTGCATAAGAAGTGTTAAAATCTTCTATCAATCCATCTACCCAGCTTAACAACCTGAACCTATGTTAGTTTTACAAACAGTATATTAAAGGGAGGCAGTCGTCGTGTCGCGTCCTGTTCGATATGGGACTCATAGCGACGTATACAACGCGTGTAAAATACATTGTTTATTTAAATGAAATTCGAACACGCGCTGCGCGACGACCACCGCGCTTTAACTGCACATTGATTTTTTCAAGGTTTCAGTTCTTATCAAAGACGTTATATAAGCCTTCAATACAATTAAAAATATTCACAAAGTACACCATCTAAACGTACTATGCATCAGTAGTTATACATTAATTATTTGTATAATTCAATCGTGTCATAAAGTTAATAATAATACAAATTGTTCAGTCCACATATCCCCAATATTAAATATATCATTGTTTCGTTCGATATATAACACTATACTAGCTTCCATCGGTCTTGTGTGAAACACATTTTAACAAAGTGACTCATGTGCGAAACACCGTGAAACATTGTAACGATTGAATAGAGTAAACTAGATACACGAACCATGTTTTATATGGTCTATGTGTAAACGTTTTCAGTGAGCATACATTGCGTCACTGTCAGAGAATCGATTATAACTGAGATGAAACTCAATTGAGCATTTTTTTTTTTTTTTGCATTCCAAACTTAGTATTGAAGGTGATATTGATCTGTGAAAATAAATGAATTAGTAAAATGCAACTATTTGGATCTCGCGGGAAAATCGCCACATGTATATACTGACGCCGATAACAGGGGGGTTGTTTACCGGAATATCGCCGGATAGCGTATCCTAATGCAAATATAAATCCCTTATAAGTAGATGCCAAGATCTCTACTCATCCTCTACGGCTCAACTGACTACCTTACCAAGAACGTCAACATGGTTTCCCATCTACTAGTTCTGCTGCTCAGTTCAACCTTACTTGGTACGTATGTACGTGATGTGGTAACATTGATGGACAGTTAGGTTCGAAGCTGATGTCAGGAGTCGGCAATAACAAAATAATGGTGGTCGAATTTAAAGATCCAATCTCAATTATCTTAAATATTTTATTGAAATGTAGCAAAAAAATCGAGTTTGGTTAAATAAGTGATTTATTTTTAATTATTCTTGGAGCAATGGTCAATGTAAATTACTGAAAAAATGTATTTAATTTCAATATTGATATGCAAAAAATTACCGACCCCCTCTATATTAAGGACGCTATGATACACTAAAACAGTTGGATGCTCGATGATTGAAATTGAGTAGTAATGTACTAGTGAATGAATAATGATAATTATATTGTTTGTTTTTTTTTCTTTCTCTATCTTAACAGTACAGTCATCACAGGTAATTTTTAACATTATAAAAACTGTAATATGAAAACATATCTGTTATATTATTATTAAATTAAGTATCATCAAATGACATGTTGTCACGCAGTTATAACCACAAGATTTTGTTCATATGCAAAGAAAGAGTACGGTCTCAGCATTTCTGTATTTGCAAGTTTACTATAATATTATATTATATTATTATTGTACATTAATAAGGCTGACACATGCGGTGTGCAAGATATACCGCCAAGGAGAGTCCCATCCCTTGAAGTGCCTTCCGTTAACATCGTTGGTGGCTACGAGGCAGTACCACATAGCTGGCCATGGGCAGCCCAGATGAAGGGACCGCTAGGAGGCAGCTACTGTGGGGGTACTTTGATTGACCCCGACTGGGTTCTGACAGCTGGTCACTGCGTTGATGACCCGTAAGTCGCACTTGAGCTTTAGTTAAAATTGTTGAGGTAAACGTTTGCGAGTTACATTTGCTGCATTGTGCTTGCATCGGACGATTTAACGATTTCTGCGTCTTGCACTTTCCACTCTCGATTACAAGATATCTTCCCGAAATTGTAACCAATGCAACACAAAGAATCGCATGCATATATCGGGGATATATAACAGCCACGGTGCCATTCTATCCACGGTCCCCGAGGGACTGGGATCTAACCTATTTCACCAGCACCACATTCACGACAAAGAAAAATAAATTCAGGCTCACAACTTGAATGAAATTATTATATCATTTGGTTACAGAGCATCGACGATGACCATCCACGTGGGGTCACACAATAGAGACTCCAGAGACGACGGTGAACAAGCTATTGGCGTCGAAAAAGTCTTAAGGCATGAAAGGTATAACCAATTCACATTGGCTAATGATATAGCTCTACTTAAGCTATCCAAATCAGCGGTCCTGTCTGAAACCGTTGATATAGCTTGTGTTGCAGAGAAGAACTACGTACCAGGGACCGAGTGCGTGGTCGTTGGATGGGGAGAAACGGAAGGTAAATAGTATTTGTTTGTACATGAATTATATTGGAATTCGCAAGAGGGGGCATTTTTCGCCTTTTTCATCTGATCCTCGATTTTCATGTGTAATAAAGTCCTTAATTCTGTCTGACTAGTTTAACACTACGAATAATTAATATACAAACCTGCTGAAAAACGAAAATACCCCTCGTTACACTTTTTTTCTTTGTTTCAATTTTAGAGTAACACTTGGGGCGAAAAAAAATATGATTGTTATAAATGACGGAAATTTTGGCAATTTTAGAAAGTGCTCAATCATTACCTCTTCCCGGAAAAATGCATCGTTATATTTCATATGCAATATAAAACTAATTCGTGTGTTTTTTCACGAAAAAAACATAGATACAGCTAACGATTTGGTATTGAATCAAGTGGTTGTTCCTATTATATCAAACACTCAGTGCAACAGCCGTACTTGGTACAATGGTGAAATCACCGATGACATGTTCTGTGCCGGATATGAAGAAGGTGGAAAAGACTCTTGCCAGGTATATTTTCACTTCACAACATAGACAACATTCGTACTACACAAAGCTGTGTACCACCTCGATGATCTTTTGCATTAAATCTCAAGCACTGTTATGCTTTGTAATGTTTTGTAATGCGAATATACATCTAGTAAATTTACATTGTATAACAGATAGTTTCACTAAATACTGCTGCTGACAAAGAAACAACACACACACACACAAAACACACAAACAAATCAGCAAACTACACGATTGACGAGAATGTTGCTGGAATTATCAAAATTTACCCCTTGCCCTACATTGTTATATTGTAGAAACGTTTGATGCGATAAGCCATGCCGAACCCAATCATGTCTTGATTATATTTACTTATATCTTTCTCTCACTGATTTTACAATGTATATAACTTCTACATAAATGACCGCCAATGTATCGTTTGAAGCGAAAGAGCTACGGGACTTGCCACAAGTTATTTGTGCATTCTTGCCTGTGATCGCGTCCGCTGTACCGAATATCATGCCTACACAGGCCAGAAGAACACGTGAGAGAACTTAGGAGAAACGAACAATGTTTGAGTCTCGTGGCGTTCTCGCGCTAGTTTACTTATAAGTTATTGTTTTGTACCCGTGGACTGTGTAATCTTAAACTTGTAAATTACATTCAGCAACTATACACTTAAACATTGCCTTGTTATGATGTTATCTCTATTTTCATTAATTTTACTTTTTCTTCATTCAGGGAGACAGCGGCGGTCCGTTGACATGTTTGAGGGACGACGGTGCCTGGGACTTGTTCGGTGTGGTAAGCTGGGGCTACGGATGTGCTGAACCAAGAAAACCTGGTGTTTACACGCGTGTCCCATCGTACGTCGATTGGATCGAAGAAACTATTAGAGCAAATTAATGAAATGTTGATATAGATAGTTTCTTTGGTGCGACGGTACATTTATAATACTCCATTAAATGTCTAACATTATATTATATATTCATTGCTTTATTGAATATTTGTGTTTAATTTGTTTGTTTAACTCATGTGAATGGAACAGGGATTTGTGAACGCCAGCAATGCAAGTATTCAGTCACTCTTCCTGTTAACGGTTAGCATTATATATTAGATATTGAACATTCTACACAATCATATATGTAGGTCAAATGAATTTATTAATGTTTTATTTCCATAACAAAACTTATTGCTTTTTTCAACTTAATAAGAGTACACATACACTGCACTGTAAACTTCTAAATAAGGACTTCATTGCCACTGAGACTCTTGCACAATATCGTTGTCTGGAATGCTCTTATGACTTATCTACACCAGCGTTGACCAGTAGTAAGCTTAAGGAGTCTAGTATAGGGACTAACTGATCCGAAAACCATCATCTGTAGGTTCAATTCAACAGTCTTTCAGAGCAAGATTTCACATCACATCATCTGTTATTTGACAAAATCATTTGCTGCCAAATTCGGGCAGGTCCCTGGCACGTGCGTGTGCCCACTAGTTGAATACCCAATCTATCGATTTGGTTCATTCATGTATACTGTAAACAGGGGAAATTATCTCAAAAGAGCGAAAACTTTCTAATGGTTGGCGGAATGTCTTTATCTTTTCTCTTACTAGTGCTTTAACTGATACATCCTCGGGACAAATGTTTTCTCTCTGAATAAAAGAAAATAAATAAACTTAGCAACTATGACGGATATTGTCACACAGTCTTATAGCAATCTATCAAAAAGGGCGGAATAAACAAATAATTGTGTTAAGAGGCAAAAACTTAGGTCAGATAGTTCAGTAAAGATCATTTGTAATCTACGCTTTCCGCTTTCCTACGCTTTCCTCATGCGACGAACATTCTGATCACTCAATGACTAACTAGTGTATCCCTCACTGGGACATTAGTATCAAATTACACAATGTCGTGACCCATACACTGATACAATGGAAATGTGAACAAACTGGATTAATGCACACACTGGTCATATACACGCATGTTGAGAGGACATGATGTCTAAATATGCTTACCCCCCCCCCTGCATGATATACTCTAACTTGCCAGACATATATTTGAATTTAAATACATCATAGTTCTTGATGCTAATAAAGACTATATGCTCATTCTCCCAGTTTAATAAATTTCAAGGCAGGTGTCAGCTAATCTACTTTTGTGTACTAAGAACTAAATCGGGGGTAAATATAAATATAAAATAATTTTATAAATATTTAGACAGCGGATGGTTCCCACTGAGAACACCAAATCTTATCTCTCAACGGTTTGATGAAGTATAGTCTATCTGTGCGTGTGTGCCACAGGTGATTATAAATAAACTTCTAAAAGTCTTCTGTTCACACGGAGCAGGTCGGAATGTGCTGTTTAAGCACAATTTCATGCAGTCTTTCTGAATACTAAAAATATTTGATATATAACATATATAGCTATTCATATCACATGTGTTTGTACTAGGTATTAGGTACCACATGTATGTCTCGACTTTCCATAGAGCTGTCGTAAATATCACAAATGATTTGAGACATCTTTTCCAAAATAGTTTAGCGTAAATCTGTCAAATCTGTTTTGGCAAACCGTCAATAAAATAATACTGTTTTAAAGAGATATGCTAATTTTAAATGACGTACTACAAGAAGAGCTGCCTATTTGAACGATATACACCGATATACGTACTTCTGAATGCACTTAGTTTGTCGTCGTTAGAGGGCGGTGTATTAGAACTGAACATCAATCCTCCACCTATTTTAAATTTGATGAATGTATTGTACAATATCAATAAAACGTAGGCTCAACGATGTTTCATGAAAATATAAGGAAGGTGTCACGCAATATCACGTAATTTGTTTTAAGCAGTGGTTAAGACTTGTACATGGCATTTTTGAAAGAACTTCAAAGTCAAGTGCATTGTTTATACTGTCAGGCGTTCAATAATTTTATCAAATAAGCCGACTCACACAATGAGTATTTACAGTTTGAATAAGACAAATAATGAAGCCTGCCAATGTTCACAGCGAGCGCGTCGGTGACGATAACATGCCATATGACGTCCGGTCTTCTCGACTTATTGGATCCAGACAAGAACGCTCTCATATTTGAAGTCATCCAATACAAGACAGCTACATTTCAGGAGAATTAGCGTTGATAAATTTGTCGTCACTGTGGCTCGAATTTGTTTGTGATTAATACTGCCCAAACTACCTCCTGCAGTAAAACAAATTGTTCGGATGGATATCACTCTCTGATAAAAACGATGCATTTTGCAGTGATAAAGGCTCTATGCTTGGAACACAGGGAAAAGCAAAAACATGAAAGCGTAAGGTTACAAGTTGTAATAAGGTCGTCAAAAGGTCATTCATAGGTTACGTTAAGTGGTTAAAAAGTTGTCAGGTTCTTCAAATGCTTTTGAACTTATTAAATATTTTTCAATTGAATAGTAGTCATGAAATTATAATATATGTATAGAAGTTGTAAATCTCACACAGGACTCTATTTAACTCAATTTATATGAAATGACCACTTCTTCAAAGTGAAACAGACTATACCTGGCATAAATTAATAGCTAATCTTGTCAGTTAAAAAATGACTGGCGTGACGTCACTTTTATACATAGTTCTAATGATAGTGTGCATCCGTATCATTGAAACAAAAAAAAGCAAGCATGCATTGAACAGTTCCACTGCATTAGTAAAATTCACGATGTTCACTAATGTCAGTGTAGAACGTGGTACTACGTAATGGTGCAGAGTATGCATGCATCTCTCTCAACAGAACATTCACAAAATGTAACACAAAATGCAATTACAAATGTTTATTAGTATATTGCAGAAACAACCTTTCGTTATCGCATCATTTAACACAAATTAACAAACATTAATGATCAAATACAAATATCATAACAATCTACACGTTACTATTAAAGTACATTTAAGTAAATCATATTTCTGAAGTGGTGCTCTACACGTCGATTGAAACCGTTGCGCCCTCAAACCACCAAATCATTTACTCACTATCATTGCAATTGCATAAGGTAATGATTTAGTACTAAGTCGCGCTAGACGCATTGTCTTTAAGTACCCTAAACTACGCATGCGCGTCTGGTGACTAAAATATCACACTAAGTATTTATAATACAATATCACTCGATTATACAAGTCTCGTATTGTGTTACAATTTCGAGTGAAATTAAATGACTATTTATTTTGTAAATAAAGTACAAATCACATATCCATGTTGCTTTTAAATCAACATTCTTGTTATATATATATCGAGTCAATATATTATCATTTCTAATAATGAATAAATAAAAGATAAATAAAATTGTAAGGCAGTGTTCACAGCATACATAAACAGCACACTAGAAATAACAGTAAAGAAAAAAATAGTGATCTAAAATGCAACATTGAGGGCGCCATAGCAAATTAATTTACGAGAAGATGGAGTTAATACGGAACAAAAATGTTCATGTATAGTATATTGTACAATATAAAATATCCCCTGGTCCTTTTTATCATTAATTCCCGGGTATCATTTTCCCGTTGCTTTCCTGTTGTAATCTAACCTAACCTCCTAGCATAGCAGGAAGTATCAGTCGTTGGTCTTTGCATGGCATATTTAATTTTGAAAGAGTAGAAAAATGAAAAATGTTTTTAGTTTTTTTTTTTAGGTTTTGGCAGTGGATAATCATGAGCCTCCGTTACACAATGATGGATCGACATGCGATGCTGCGGTTATAATAGAACATGTTCTCTCGAGGCAGTTATAGAGGAGAATAGAAATCAGACCAAATCAACAATACTGGATTCCGTCCGGCTCGTACTGTTCTATATAACGCAGAATCCATCGAGAAGGGAACACTAATCCATCTGAATGCCGAGAATAGAAAGACAGTTTCTTCTATAATGCTGGTAGTACTTCGCAAATATCCATACTCCCGTCACTCTGACGTTATATCCAAAAAGTCAATTTAAGTACTTTAATTAAATAGATCCAACCACTATTACGTTATACAGCACATGCCGTTATGGCCATCTGCTTTGGCATTAATCCGTCTTCTAATCTGATCTAAAGATGAAAACAGGAGACTGATAACATTCTTGTTGTGCAGAATTAATGACAGATCGGGTGGAGTGGTTCGTTATTATAATAAATATATATTATGTTATTATCGCGAAATCATTCGGGGGTCTATGGAATTAGTATTAATGTGTATCTGTAAAACACGGTGAAGCTACGTGTCGTTGAATGTCCCATAAGCCAGAATCGAAAACAGCCAACATGAAAATAAATGCGCTCGCCGATGGAATAGCTAATATTTTGCGTTAACGTCACGAAATCATTCAAAATATAATGTTAATTCGTGCATCAGTCGTAATATGATGACTAACGATAACATACCAGCTAAATCTTTTCGTCCCATACCAACAAGCCCTTCGTACAACCCTTTAACGGGATTCTCATCACATCCATGTAGCCATATTAGTAATAGTCGGTAACCATGCTCCTTCCAGCTTTTATCGCCTATTAACAGGAACAAAGAGCTCAGTACACTGAATCCCTTCAAGTCATTAAAGCCCGTTCTATAATATTTTTCAAGACTGTGTCAGGTGAATATAAAATACTTCATCCCGTATATCATGACAGTTTCGTGTAATAAATAAAGCAGTGTCATAATTTTCGATATCCCATTATTATGTAAAATTAAAGGTCTTAGCAACTTAAAACACAATTTCTAATTCATTTTCCCAACTTCAACTTGTACACAAACCATATATTATTTTTCTCTTAGCTAGTCACGGTGGCCATTGCCAATTTTATGGATTGAATTCAACCCCAAAAATGATAGCTGCGTTACCGATACATCCACAAAAATAATAAATATATGGCCACTCAGTCGCACATATGTTGATTACAGAAATGTATATCAATATATATATATATGCCAGAGTGAAATGGCAATCATATGTGCAAATGGTGAAACGTAAATACTCAAAGTTTTGAAAGTGCGCTTACATTTTGCGTTTAAAAGCTGCGGAACCAATATGATATGGGATTAAAAACTATCATACAATATCAAATCTTTTTTTAATCAATGCATGTGATATTTTTCATTTATTCAACGTAATAGACTCGGGAGAAATATTAATTACTACACTCGTTTAACAAGTCTAAAGCATTTTTCTTTCAAGATACTAAAAAGATAAATAAGAATTGATAGCAAAAACTTACCGGTAAACTGGTGCTCTATAGCCTTGATATGTGCATCGGTAAACCCCCAGACAAAGGCAAGCTTCTTCCACTCTTCTTTCCTAAGCTGCTTGGTGCCAAGACGCCACAGTATTGGTCGCATTTGTGCGTTTTCGTCGCTTTGGTCTTTACGAAATTGAATTTTCTCTTCCCCTCTTCGGAATTCTTCGTTTCGAAGTTGCTGGAATTGAAGTAAACAACTTTTGTTTATATACATGAACAAACAAACACTAACGTAACATATAATTACGTCAATACATAGACATAAAAGATTTATCCACAATTGGGACGACAAATTAAAACAAGCAGCCTCTCGGCTGAGATAGCTCCGCTGTTAGCAAGGCACATTTCAATTAAAGAACTGAAGATATCATTAGAAAATGAACAATATGTATAGTATGTATAGCAATCGGACTTGCTGTTTTCAACAAGAATTCAAAATATCATTTTTTACCAAAAATAACATAAATATTCATCAAA